ATGAAAACTTTTGTCTTTCTTATTGACCAGACAGTGGCCATCTGCTTTGTTTTATGATTGCAAAAACACTTTTACTATAGATTTGTAAACACCAACTAGAAAAATCAATCGATTATTCACCTTTACATCATTTATTATTTCATTCATCTTTGAACATGTATCTGCCTTTATTTTTTCATTTTTTTAAGTGTTTTTTTTTTAAGATTTATTTATTTTTATACAAGAACTGGGGTACCGGCCAGAGGCATGGGGGGGGGGGGCGGAGAGGATTCACCAGAGACAGAGCGGAGAAGAGAACAGACATACTGACGAAATACTCTGCTGAGGGGAGCACTGGGCGAGACAGGAGAGGTCTGCCATGCCATGTGGGACCCTCGCAGGCCTGCCGGGATCAAACCCGCGCTTTCAGAGGCTGCGGACAGCTTCACAGCTCAGTGCTCAACCGCCTGTGCCACCAGGGGAGGCCCTACATCTGCCTTTAGCATGGATCTACTTAAAGCCCTATCATGTAAATGTGTCCTACTCAGAAAGTATTGTGTCCTGAAATCCTTTCAGATGACAAACTGGATGATAATAACATGTTTCCCTTTGTTTTCAGAAATATATTCACTCATCAATTTTTGAATTTCAGGAAGTTTTTCTAGCACATTGTCATCTGAAAATTTATAGTCTGGCATTTTATAAGAATTCTGAGTAGTTTTGTCTAATAATGAAACATCTATTAATTTTGTCATTATGAACAGTAATGCCACTAAATTCTTGGACTCCTTTTAAATTATATGCCACATCAAAATATTTTTAATGATTTTAATTGACAATTTAAGTTTAATTTTGTTGAAACAAAAAATTGAAAATGACTCTCATTGAATACCTTTTTCAAGGTATTTTTCTTTCCAATTCTTTGTAAAGTAAGCCAAAAAAAGTCTAAGACTTCTCTATAACTGGTTCCCTTAGTGTCCTCCTTCTTATAGAGCTTAAAATTAAGACAAAGCTGAATAAAAACACCCCCATAAAATTGGAAATTGCACAGCATTTATGAAGATAGTTGTTTTATGTTTCAAAAACAATTATGCTTTTTACAGAATTAGAGCATGTTGTAAATATTTATAAAGAATAAATCTTAAGTATATTTTTTGGAAGTTAAAAGTACTATGTGTCCTAGACTGTACTATATGTATAGTTCTGTATTTAAGAGCATTGGTCATGTCATTTCATCAAAATAAGACACATTTCAACATTTGAAATTGGGATGCAATTTATAATCGACAGCATATCGTAGTTTAGTTGGTGGTGCTTTTTATTTTTTTTTTATACATTTTATTTTTTTAAGATTTATTTATTTATACAAGCACTGGGTACAGTCAGAAGTGCGGGAGGGGGGGAGAATTCACCAGAGCCAGAGCAGGGAGCAGAGCAGGCGGAAGGACCGAAGTACACTGCTGAGGGGAGCAGCGGGTGGCAGGAGAGGTCTGCACGCCATGCGGGACCCTCCTCCTGTGGCCGGGGAGCAGCTGGGGATTGAACCGACGCTGCAGAGGCCGCGGGCAGCTTCGCAACCCAGCGCTCAACCGCTGCGCCACCGGGGAGGCCCTGGTGGTGCTTTTTACTGGTGTTGCATATTGATGAATCATAGTAATTGTGTAAGAGTAGATAAAATTTTGATTGTGGAAATTAATAGCAAAGCCAAGAGAAGATAATTGAGTCACCATTAAGTTCAGAGTTTATACAAGGTATATTTACGTCTATTTTGGTTCTCATTTATAATACAATCCACAATATTTCGTTTAATTTTATCCTAAATCATTAGTAGTGATGAAAAAGCAGAGAAATGGCTGAGTGACAATAGCAGGAAATTTGGGCCAGGTTAAAAAAAAATAAGGAATTAAAGAATCTACTAATGAACTAGCAAAGGTTAATAAAAATTGTTTCTCTTAAGAATTTGAAAACTGGGCCTCCCCAGTGGCGCAGCGGTTGAGCGCTGGTTTGTGAAGCTGCCCGCGGCCTCTGCAGCGCCGGTTCAATCCCCGGCTACTCCCTGGCCATGGGAGGAGGGTTCCACATGGCGCACAGACCTCTCCTGCCACCCGCTGCTCCTCTCAGCAGTGTACCTCCATCCTTCTGCCTGCTCTGCTCTCCCCACTGGCTCTGGTGAATTCTCTCACCCTCCCAAGCTTCTGACTATACCCAGTGCTTGTATAAATAAATAAATCTTAAAAAAAAAAAAAAAGAATTGAAAACTGCTCTGCAAATATAGAACCATGAACTTATCTGTGACATATCTCTTACCTAGCAGATATAATGTTAATAATAGGTCAGAAATAAACATGAAACTTCATTTCTGCCTTTTGAAATCATAGTTATGTTACTGAGACAGATTTGTGACACATCATCAGTTTATCATTAATGGGAATGGGGGAAAATACAGTTTGCTTCAGGGCAGTTTCATGAAAACACATCCTGCTTTTATACCAATCCCCAATATTCTAAGATAGATGAAACAAGCAACCTTATCATTTGTTGACTAAAAATAAGATGTCTTTCCCTTCATTTTCCTGCTCTTTCCTTTACTTTCACATGATTCACCTATAGGAAAGATGTTTTTTGAAGTCAGGAGATGAGAAAAGGGCAAGGCCATTAAACATGTCATCATACTATCTCCCTACTCAAAAACATCTGAATTCAGAACATGACCACATGGGCCAACATAACCCATTTCTAAGACCACATTTTACTACTAATGAAAATATATTTCCTTAAAGCTTGTCAGAAAGGTGTGCTCAGGTTCAAAGGAAAGGGAAATGACTCCACATCTTGATGGGGTAGTGGCAAGGTTCTGGAAGAGAAATATTATTGGGGCCATTTTTGAAAAATGCAACTTGCCACAAGTTTCTTTTGCAAAGTGGGTGAAGAGTAATTATGAAAAAGGCAAGTGAACATGGATATGTTCTTTATTATGATCAATTTTAACAAGCATACTTATGGGAATGAGGATCTGATTTGGATCCCTTAAAGCTATTTTTGTCTGCAACTCCCTTGGAAAGTTGAATATTCCAGAAAAATGCATACTATTGTATGAAGACTCAGCTAGAGATATTTCTGTTTTTCAATTTTTTAAATAGTTAAGGCATATACTTAACTAAAAATTTGTCTTTTATTTAGTATTTCAGTAGAAGTAAAAATGTGTATTCTGGAATACTGGACAAAAACAAGCCAATAATAGGAACCAAATTATCAATGCCACAAAAACTTTGATAATGGAATACACTACTAACTACAGCAAAACAACTATGGTCCTTTCCTGAGGACAGAAATTGTTTCCTTGGAAAGTCATAAAAGATCAGACCGACCCCCCAGAAGATGCTGGTAGCTTGGTAAGAAGGAAACTTTACATTTACTTGTTTACTATTAAATTTACAGAGCAGTGAGATAAACTCCACATAAGTAGGGCAGTTACAATTTGAATTCTTCCAAACTATATGAATGGCATAAAATCTTTGCTGACTTCCTTTATCATCTTTGCCTATAACACAATGATCTGTAAGAGATGGCTTAGTAATTATTTCCAAATGCTGTTTCCTAAAAATAATACTGCTTTCTTATCTATGAAGCTCAATAAATGGTTCATGAATGTATTCTACTTGCTCTAATTTTCAGTATGTGACCTCAAGTCATCTGGAAAGATAAGATGTTAGGGAATAAGGATTTTTTTTTAAGATATTGGAAGAAAATTACTAATTTACTACTTCATATATACATCCCTACATATCAAGGAGATAAAGCAGAACAATTATGTAGTAAGCACCTACAATTTACCAGGCATCATTCTAAGAGCTTACAGTATATAGTGAATGAGAAAGTAATAGCTACCATTTATTGAGAGATTACTATGTGCCAAGCGCTGGAGCAAGAGTTGTATATACATAAAACTAATCTTCAAACACAACACTTCTATGATATGGGTACTATTAAATTCTTTACATGAGAAAATTGAGGCACAGAGAAGTTAAATAACTCATCTAGCTATAGAAAGTCTTGGCTCTCATGGAACTTTTATTAATATAAAATCTTCCTCTTCTCATTTTTTTTGTTTCTATGAAAAGTCCTAATGAAGAGATATACTGAACTGGTCATCAGATTGGTTTGATCATTTCATTTTTGGATGTTTCTGGCAATGTTAAACAAAATTATAAGTCCTACTATTTCATTGTACTTTGACAGCAATATACCTAAAAAGTCTGCAAGTTGTAAGACTTGATTTTGTTTAAATAGTTGGGGGGAAAATTCCTTCATATTTTTCTCTCCATTATTGTAGTTACATATACATAGCATCCCTTCCTGTGAAAACCACATCTCTAATCCAGATAGGCCAATGGGCTGAAGGTAACTGATACCCTGTTTCCCTATACAGGTGAGCCCATGGTTCAGGTCAATTTTGCCTTGGTCATAGTTATTGGTTCAGGACCACAGAAATATGATCTAAGCATGGTCATGCTGTCTTTCCTGGGATTGACAGAATTGGGAAATATTTTCTTTGTGATCTGAAACACTGGTAGACACTTCCCTTGGCATCAAGAGAAAATGACTCCACAATACAAAGGGATGTAGAGAAATTCAGATGCACAGCACTTTAATCAAGCTATGCAAGGAATAGTTCTATCCTAGTCCTTTCCAGTTAAATAAGTATAAATACTCCTTTTTACTTAACAAAATGGGTTTCTGTCACTTTCCATCAAGCCTCAATGCATTTTCACAATAGCATTACATAAAATATGAAGCTAGAATTCTCAAACTGAATGGTTATAATATGAATAGATTTATAGTTACGAATATGAATAGAATTATCTATTCTCTCCTTTCACTCCTTTCCCCATAAAGAACTGCCCACAGCTCAATATTTTCATTTGCAAAAGTAGCATGCACCATTATTTACCTATGAACTCTAAGTGGTTACAAAACATTAATTCTACTTCTTTAGCACATGACAAAACCACAATATAGCTAAGATAAAATGTTTTATTTCAAAACATTAGAAAAACATTGAAAGACAAAAGTCCATCACATAGGAAAGAACGTTAAATATCTGGAAACTGTAAATCTTCTAAAATGTGGTAGGCACTTCCAGAGAGCTTAATATTGCAAATTATCCTATCATGTCTTCTCTAATATACCAGTACTTCATATAATGAAAAATATGAAGCCCCAACTAATTATTCAAAGTCACCATCTTAGAGTTCAACTTAATTACACAAATATGTTTTGTCCAAGATGTTCCTGACACATGACGCTTCCAGATGAATTTCATAAATATTAAGAAAAATATCTTCCTTTTTTGCCTGTGAAAGTCTGAGTATTGCTGTATTGTTGGCTTATATCCACTACAGATACTGGTTCTAGGCCAGCCCAAGGGTCTTCAAGCATTGAAGGCTTAAAATAACTTTCCAACTCATTAGACATTCTTTTTTCTCTACCACGCCCTGATCCAAATGGTGTAGATGTCCTTGGCGAACCCTTTAGGAAAAAAATGACCAGTTAAAAAAACATTTAGCAGAGATAATCTTCTTTAAAAGCCAGTGGGGAGCGCATTGCTAAGTTAAAAGTTGTTTCTGGAACCTAAATATGTCCAATTGCAAAGTTCATACTTTCTTTAATCTAGTGTTTGTGTGTAAAATGTATTTAAACTAATGTGTCACCTTAAATACTGTTGGATTTCTAATGTAATAACTGTGCAGAAACAGCAATTGGTGATGAAATAAACTAATTGCATTTCAATTTTTCCTCAAAATTTCCTCCCTTTTTGGAGAAAAATTACAGCATTTTTTAAAACCCTAGTTACAAATTTATAGAACATTTCTATTTCATGAAATTTTATCTATCACCTTAGCTCCATGGTCAAAGGGAGTGGGGTTTAACAAAAACAAAATTGGAAAGCTAATAAGTACACACAAGTTATAAACAACGGAAACCCTATACACACCAGATATACTCCTATCTCCTGTATTCACTCTGAGCGGAATGGGAGACTTCTTCCACTATTGCTAGGCTTTTTATTGAGAAAGACTGGAACAGATGCCAGTTTGGTTAGAAAACAGACAAAGGGGTGGGGGGAAGGTGCCCAGCAGTAGGAAGAAGGTACCAACCTAAAATTTTATAATCTAGAGGAGCGATATACTGGAGATTCGTTGACTTTTTGCCCAGAGACCGGGGACTCAATTCACGAAAACGACCTGGGAAGGCCCTTGGCAACGGAATGGTATCTAGGGGAATCTCCGGTGTGAGTGGCTCTGTACTGGTTAAAAGCTGAGCAGAAGGGCTCGAGAACAGGAAGTACAGCTCCGTCATATTTTAGGGTGATCTAAAGAAAATTACTTAACTTCTCTCAGCCTCAGTTTACTCCTGTAAAACGGGCTAAAGATAGCATCTCAGCTCACAGAGGATTAAACAAAATAATCCACGTAAAGGATTATCAGTACCGTGCCTGCCATACAGAAAGAGCTCCGCAAACGCTGGCTAAGATTACCTGGGGGTGGGTCTGCTGCTGCCCCGGGGAGTAGCCGAATTGCTGCTGGGACCCCGCGGGGGACCTGGAGTAGGAGCCAGGGTAACCGCCAGGGGACGGAGACCCGAACCGGCCCCCTGGGAAGTTGCCTCCGTGCCGAGGAGAGTGGCCGCTCCCGTAGGGCCTAGACCGGGGCCCGTAAGGCGGCGTGTGGTGAGGGCTCCCGTATCCGTCCCGAGGGGAGGGCGGGCGCGGTCCGCCTCCGCCCGAGGAACCCCGGAAGCTGCTCCCAGCTCCCCAACCTCCTACACCCGGGCCGGGGTAAGGAGGAGTCGGGGGTCGAAAATTCTGTCGGCGCATAATCGGAAAACGCAGAGAACGCACTCACGCCCGTATTCTCCCGCCGGAACTGTGCCGAACACGCCTTCAGACCGAACTGGCGGTTCTTTACCAAAACGCTCCTCCGCAACTACAGCATATTGGTTCCGAGGATACCAAAGTTCCGCTAGGGGGCTACGCGATAAGTGGATCACTGAATTGGGTAAAGATAGAGCGGTGGAAGTCAAGAAATAAGGGAGGAAAAGGATAAAGGAAAGACGGAGAGCCTTTCTTTCCCCGGGAACGGCCTTCGGAGTCTGGCGGCCCTTGGTGGACCCAGAGGACCTCCGCTTGGGGGTCAGGGCCGGCGCGTCCGGGCCTCCGGCGGGGGGCGGGGATGAAGGGCGGGGCCGGGGGCGGGGCGAGGCCGGGCCCGGCGGGGGCGGGGTCTGCGGTGTCGCGGGCGCCGCGGGCGGCTGTAGGTCCAGAGCGCGCCGCGTTCTTCCCTCCGGCTGGGGCTGAAGCGTCTGAGGCGCGCGATGCTGGCGGCGCTGGGAAGGCTCGCGGCTCTGCGGAGAACCGACTTTCTCTTCGGCCGGGGTGGCTGGAGGGGGCTGTGGACCGGCCGCCCGCAGTCAGGTATCCTCCGAGACTCGGTCCGGGCGGCGAAAGAGCGCCCAGTCGCAGCCTCCCTCCTCCCGCCGCGTCCTGAGGAGAGCGCCCGCGCTTTCTCCGAGTATCTGCTGTCGCGGCAGCCTGCCGGGTTTTTTCCCTCCCGCCTCCCTGAGCCCTCACTTTGTGCAGGCTTCGCCCCTCTGCCAGGCCGCCCCGGGGTCGCCCAGCTTAGTGCCCGTGTCGAGGCCGGACCCTCGGGAGAGCGCCGGGCCGTGCGAGCCTGGCCCCTGCCCTGTCCTCCCGGCCGGACGCCTTGCCTCGCTCCCTGACCTCAGCCCCCTCGGCCTCCAAGTCACAAACAACATAAAAAATGTACACCCAGAAAGGGTTTCAGCCTGCTGCTTTTAAACTGGGTGGACAGACTGTGCTAATGTCGGACTTTACCCCCTTTCTTGTTCTTGTTAAATGGAAGAGGGTTTGGGAAGTGGTTAGGAAGCAGAGATAATGATTTTCTAAAAGCGAAATTTGGCCAACTCAAAATCTTGATTGTTTGAGACTTTTAGTTAAAAAGAAAAATGTGATAATCCCGGAATGACATCTAATGTATAATAAAACACGACTTTGTACCAGAAAACTGTCGCAGAATTTTATTTAGAATTTGAAATTTCTGTTTACTATTTACTTGATAGACGTTCTTTACTCTTCCAAAATTTGGGAATGGTAGTCCACGATCACTCTTGAATTTAGCTTGCAGGCAACAGAATCCCATTATACTAGCCAGCGATTTCCACCTGTCATTCAGACCTTCTATATTCTCAACCAGTTTATTTTTCTGAGGGAGGGAACAGAAAAATGAGAGTGGTAGGCACTAAATTACTTTTATTAATTTTTGTAATTGGCAAATTATATGCAGAATTGAGTGAAATACCTTAAGTTATCTTTTTACTTGGTTTTCACTTGTGAAATGTTTTTCCCTAAAGTGATATCTTGCTATTTTCTACACATAGGAACTTGCAATAGAAATACAGTGAAAGAAATACAGAGAAAAAAATTGAGAGATACGTGATTCAAGACAGTGTGCCTTTCTCTTTCTCTTTCTCTCTGTATACATACATACATACATACATATATATATATATAGAGAGAGAGAGAGAGGGAGAGAGTAAATTCTTAAGGAAGTGGATCATTTTTAGAACAGGCCCCTTGCTCTCTTAGAGATGAAACATTAGCCAAGCGAAGTTAAGCGACTTGCTTAAGGTCACATTTCAAGCAGTGGTAGTATCAGAACTGCTTCTTGAATCCCAATTTTTTTATTTTTTCCCTAAGTACAGAAATGTGAATGGGTCTGTCTTTTCAAAATGCAATATATAAATATATAACTGAACATGTAAAATTTTGAAAGTGGGACTGTAGCAGGCATCTATTTGTATTGAGTGGTGAGTTTAGGGGAAGGGAGGAGCGATGAGGGGAAGAGGAGAAGTTTTTTATATTGAGTTGCCTGGAGGTGAAAATGTGAACTGGGATAGTGAATTTAAGATTATGGTGACTGCTTTGTAAACTAAGTATGAGCTCTCTGAAGAGAAAAGGGTACTTTTTGTGAACAACAGAGGTATAGTTCCATCAAAAAGAAAAGTGTAGCACTGTTTAGCGAGGACTGGCATTGGAAAACAGGTACCTGGATAGAGCAGTGATTTTGTGGAAGATGCTGTTTGTGACAAGTGTTATCTTCAAGTGGCATGGTATACATAGGAAATCAACAGCTGGAACATCATTTTCTGGTAACCATGAGCCTTTGTGATGAGTACCTGAATTAATTGGTTAACTTTGTGATGGTGTGCCTTTTATTATAATTTAAGTAAGAATACCATGCCAATAAATTTGAAGTGTACATGTAAATGGGACCTTGCCTGTTTCTAAAGACAGGATTTAAGTTAAGATTTTTGGGGTGTTTTTTTTCCCAGTGGATTTCAAATTTTTTTTTTTTTTTTTTTGCAGGGGGGAGGGTAGAACCTTTTCAGAAACCCATACTTGGAAGCTCAAAATATGAGAGAAGAGGGGCTGTGTGTGAAGCAGGAATTGGGGGTCCAGGGCCCTGCTCATTCTGTACTCCTGCTTTAGTGTCCCTTCTCCCCATAGGAAGCTTCTGGGGCACTTCTGCAGAATTAGTTTGAAAATAGATTTTAGGTGCTAGATGTTAAAGAGTGCTGCAAATACCTTGGTTAATTAATTTTACTACTTATCATGAAGAAGTGAATGCTTTCATGTTTTTGCATGGTCAGGACTTTCTAAGCCAAGAAAACTAGAACCTGGGTTAAAGGGCAAACCTTGGAAGTTAAAAGATGACTGAATAGATCCAGAACTCCTAAGAGTTTATATTTCGAAAGGCTATCAGACTCATAGCTTTGGAGACCATTCTGAGATTGAGATTATAAATCTAGCGAAGTTTGTCTCCCCTCTGGAGATATTTATTTACATTCCAAAGGATATTTGTTTGCGTTATGGAGGTTAGCTTTCTTGCTCTTTCACAGGAGAAGGTGGCAACTGGGCAGCTAACCTATGAAAATTCATAATTGTTGGTACCTCTCTTGTAATTCAACCCCTTTTATGCGCAGACCTAACCAACTGACTCGACTCTTACTGTAAAAAGCGTAAGACACAAAAGTGCGTGGAAAATGGTGCATTTCTGGATACAAGTAATAATAACTGATACCTGGTCCAGAAATCTTGTGTTTATTTTTAGGCTAAAAATAAATAAATATAAATATTATTTTATTTATTTTATTTTTTACATCTTTGTTCATTTTTAAACGATATTTGCTTCCCCCCACCCCCTCAGGTGTAGCCCCCATAGAGTTTGCTTTACCAATGCACCCAACACCATCCTCAGTCCCCTGGGCTCCTCCCTCTCTCCCTCTGATCCCTTTTCCTCCTCCTCCCCTGCAGTATGTCTCTGATTTATAATTGTCTGTTTTTGCTTTGTTGTGTTTGTACTGTTATTATTTTTTTACACTGATGTCTTATTTGGTTCCCCTATATTCCTGCTATTAGTGAAAGCATCAGATATTTTTCTTTTTCCTTTTGACTTATTTCACTGAGCATAATTCCTTCTAGCTCCATCCATGTTGCTGCGAAGGGCATGAGTTTATCTTTTTTGATTGCCAAATAATATTCCATTGTGTATATATGCCACATCTTCTTGATCCAGTCATCTATTTTTGGGCATTTGGGTTGTTTCCAGGTTTTACCTATTGTAAATAGTGGTGCAATAAACATAGGGGTACAGGTGTTTCTTTTGAATCTGTTTCTGTGTCCTTTGGGTAGATCCCTAGTAATGGAATTACCGGATCATATGGTAGCTCCATTTATAGTAGACTGAGGAACCTCCAGGCAGCTTTCCATAGTGGTTGGACCAGTTTGCACTCCCACCAGCAGTGAAGGAGAGTTCCTTTTTCACCACATCCTCACCAACATTTGTTGTTGCTTGTTTTTTTTTTGATATGTGCCATTCTTACTGGTGTAAGGTGGTATCTCATTGTGATTTTAATTTGCATTTCCCTGATAATAAGGGATGTTGAACATTTTTTTCATATGCCTGTAGGCCACTAAAAAGGAATGAATAGAGGCCTCCTTGGTGGCGCAGTGGGTTGTTCTCCGCGCTGTGAAGCTGTTCGCAGCCTCTGCAGTGTGGGTTCAATTCCTGGCTGGCCAGGGAGAAACCCACATGGTGTGGCAGACCTCTCCTGCCTCGCCCCCTGCTCCTCTCAGCAGTGTCTTCGGTCCATCTCCCTGTTCTGCTCCCCACTTTGTCTCTGGTGAATTCTCTCACCCTTCCTGCTTCTAACTGTACCCCAGTTCTTGTATAATAAGTAAATTGTAAAAAAATAAAAATTAATAAATATAAATATTAAAAATACTTCTTAGGATGGGAGAATGTGTTTAATAATTTCTGTGTTTAGAAGTCATGGTATATATACTTAATCATAAAGTTGACCTTAATATTCCCTGAAAATTTTTTAGACTATTTCAGTTTTCATTATAGAGATTCTTTTTTTTTTTAAACCTGTTTTATGATAAAAGACTGCTAAGAGTAAAGAAGTAAATGCATCTCTAGGATGTGATTATCTCATTCATTGATAGGGTTAGGCCTGCGTCAACACAGTAGACCACTTATCTATTACCTAAGTATTGTTCTCATTGATAGAATGAGGATTAGAAGCAACTTGTTTTCAACAATTTGAGGGCCAAATTCTACTGTTAATAATCTGGGTTGTTTTTTTTTTTTTTCATTTCTAAGCATGTGTCCTTTTTCTAACAGTCAAGCACAGATGATTTTTCCTTGGTTTACATAATTTTATTTATTTACATTTTATTTTTCTCTTGTGGTAATGTTGATTTACTATACTGCATAAGACTTGGGGGTATAGGTTCACACTGCTTCACAAGTGTGTTACCACTCTCTACCCATCACATGTATGTTATCACTGTATATCCACCACAGTCCTCCACCGCAGTCCATGGGACATGCTCCTCTCTTTGCTCCCCATCTCCCTCCTTCTGGTAGCCTCCATTCTACACAGATGAAAAGTTTTATACATACTAACTTCTTATAGAGTGATTTTCTTCACCTAAGATGTAACACAGGTGTTACTGCATTAGCTTACACTTATAAAAGTTTTCATAAAATAGTAAAATTGCTGATGGAATACTTTGATATGAAGTAAAATGTAAGAATATGAATATTTCTTTCTATAGAAAAGGTTTTGCT